AATTTATAAATGAAGTGTAATTCAAATAAAAATACCATTACTATTATGTTATGGAGTTAGACAACTTGATAATAAAATTCACATGGGATATATGCAATAATAATTAGCAAAATTCTGGGGGGAATATTGTGAGGGCACAGTGATTTTTATCAGATACCAGAATATACTACAGTCTTTATAATGAAAACAGTGGATGCTAACTTATAAATAGCCAAAGAGACCAGTGGAATAGAAGAAAGAGTTCAGTTATATTTAAATAGGTATGGAAATTTAGCACGGCACTCTACATAAGAATAAACTCCGAAGGGATTAGGAATTGAATATAGAGAATGAAACATACAAACTTCAGTATAGTGAAAGGCTTTCTAAGTGTGATTAAAATTAGAGGCAATGAAAGAAAAAGATAAATAAAGTTAACTACATAAAAATAAAGAATTTTACATGTTAAAAGAACACCATATATAAAGTCAAAAGACAGTTGCTAAACTTGGAGAAAATATAACATTCCACGAGAGCTAATGACTCTAATTACAGGGTAGGACAAAAGTAGGTTTACAGTTTGAGTGCATGGAACAGTTTATTCTTGTATTATTATTTATTAATTATTGTATTTTCCATATGAACAACTGTAAACTTGCTTTTGCCTCACTCTGTATATTAGACCTTAAAGGTGGACGGACAGAGACCAAAAAAACTCAGTGGAAAAATGGGGAAGCCCTGGCCAGGTAGCTCAGCTAGTTGGAGCATCATCCTAATACTCCAAGGCTGTGCTTCAGTTCCCAGTCAGTGCATAGTCAGTGCACGTACAAGAAACAACCAATGAATGCTTCCTTAAATAAATGGATAAGTGGAAGCAGTGAATGCTCCCATAAATAAGTGGAACAAAAAATTGATGTTTCCTTTTCTCCTCCCTCTGTCTCTCTTCCCCATTCTCCCTCTCTTCCTCCCTCTCTCGAAACAAAAACAAAAAAATTTTTAAATAAAGTATTTAAAAACAAAAAGTGGGGGAAAGATATGAGCTAATAATTTACACATAAAAATGACTCACAAACATGAAAAAATGCTCAACCATACTCATAATTAAAGAAATGCAAATTAAATGACCCCAAGATATCGTATCAGACTGGCACAATTTTAAAAATATGATACTTTTGATGAGGCTCTGGGGAAACAGGCATATTTTTGTACACTGCCATTGGAAATGCAAATTGCTGCAACCCTTTCTAGAGAAATTTGGTAATGCCTAACACAAAATTACATAGTCTCATATCTTTTAACCCAGTAGTCCTATTTCTAGGAATTTATACTGAAGATAGACCTCCAACATTATGACTCATACATTATGTATGAGGTTAGTAATTGCAGCATTGTTTATAACTACAAAATACTTGAAATACCCTAAATATAGATACATAGGAGAGTGTTAAACAAACTAAGACATCCACAATGTGGACTATTATTGGACAGCTATACTGAAGGATGAGGAAAGTTGAACCTGTAGAGTGATTTCTTTGAAGTACTGTTACATGGAAAAAGCAAAGCCCAAAAGCATATGCTTACCCTTCATGTATGAAAGAACATTTGTCAGGTGTCAATTTAATGTCTCATCTACAAATTTATCTTTTTTTGTCTGCTCTCTAAAACGGATCTTGGCCCTTTAAAGTTTTTCCTTTGCCAGCTGGCATAGTGTTAAGTTTTGTCAATAAAGGGCACAGGAGAGACTTTGGAGGAAGAAAGAGTTTTGCCTCCTGGTTGTGCAGGCTCAGCAGGATCATGCAGTGCACACAGTTTCCCCAGTGCCCAGTTCCTAGAGTGCCCATTGGTCATTAACACCTGTCCCCAAGTTGCTTTCCCTGCCACTCCACTCCCCTCGACACCTCCCCTAAACAGCTTTTTCTGGCATTCTTGAAGGCAGATTTCCAGCAGGACCCACTGATGGTGCGGCATAGCAACTTTTCTGCCATTCAGTGAGTACAGCCATACCCTTCCCAGCAAGGTCTGGAGCTCAGTCCTGAGGAGAGAAAAGGAGACTCCTTGGGCACTCTTTCTCAGACGAAGGGTTGGGGTAGTCCTTATACCTGCCATTTCTGTATTCTGTAGCTCTCCACTTACTTGCCAATCCCTCATTAACTCCAATCCTCTGTTAAAGTTAATAATTCTTTCTTTTTTTTAAGATTTTATTTATTTATTTTTAGAGAGGGAATGGCGGGGGGCGAAGAAAGAGAGAGAGATATCAATGTGCTGTTGCTGGGGGTCATGGCCTGCAACCCAGGCATGTACCCTGACTGGGAATCGAACCTTCGACACTTTGGTTCGCAGCCCGCGCTCAATCCACTGAGCTATGCCAGCCAGGGCTAGTTAATAATTCTTTAGATTAATCTTTCTCTGTTCAATTTACTGCTTAATTATTTTCTCCTAATTAAACTCAGACCATACAGAAAGGAATATAAGAAAACACTAGGTATCTGCTTATTTGAACAAAAGAAATGGAGAGGATAAATCAGAACTATAGAGATTAGTTATCTACAGGGGTAGGAAGTAAGGAGGAAATGGGAACAAGTTAGTAGAGGGACAGAGAGGAAATGATACTTCTCTTAGTATATTTTTTATAACTGACTTTTAGAAACACAGTGATGTTTCACATGTTTTTCACGTATCCCAAGATAATCAGACAATTAAAATCACCAGGATATAAGTTGGACAGCCCAAATTGAATACAAAACCAACAAGGGAGCCTAACAGTGCTATAAAAGCATGGCATGATTACACTGAAGAGAAAGGGAAGAAGGAACTAATCTGAGCTCTGTGCTGAAGCGCATCTGGACTCAAGTGTTGTAAGGCTGAAGACACAAAGAACTGTTGGTCAAGAGTCAGTGTTTCTCATAGCTATGTAAGTTAGCAGCTTGGAAAGTGTGAATGTTCTAGAATTAAGGTAATGGTTCGTAAACAATGGGAATCGGGTTTCTCACTTGTAGAGAAAGAAGTTTAAACAAGGAAAGAGTTGAAGGCTAAAATTATTCATTATCACTGTGATTTTAGTTTGGGATTGGAAGTACCAGTATTAACTCATGGTTTTAAATATAAAACAGATGGAAAAATACAGATATTTGTACATGTATGCATTAGTATAGATGTGTTTCCTACCTGTGCTGAGAAACCTAGAAACAGTGACTGCAGGAACAATGAGAATGCCTGGAACCTGGATACTGGTCTCCAATAAAGGAATTCGGGCTCCTAGGGGAAGCGGTTGATTCCAGGGCTGAGACAGGAAAATAGAGGATGGGCCTTGAGCCTCCTATCATTCTAGAAAGTAAGGACAGGCAATAACAACAACAACAACAACAACAACAACAACAAAAGCTTGTTGAAAAAACAGGAGCCAACCTGAAGAAGCTCCTAATGGCCAAAGCTAGAACAATTTAAGCAACAAAATAATGATAATATTAGGTTTTAACCTACGGAATAAAACAGATACCTATGAATTTAACATAATCGATTATCATATTTTTCAGACCATAAGATGCACCTAGGTTTTAGAGGAGGAAAATAGGGAAAAAATTTTTGAAGCAAAAAATGTGGTAAAATATTTAATAACATAATATTCACCAATGTAAATGTAAAGAGAACTCAACAGCAGCATGAACAACCATTATTCCTCCTGAATTTGCTACAGGGGGCGGAATGGGGGTTGGCAGCGGGGGTGAGTCTTATAGTCCAAAATATACGGTAAATAAAATGGAAAAAAAGATACAGGTCTTCCTCATAATATCAATGAATAATGTAGAATGAGGGAAATAGAGAATTACCACTAGGCAAACTATAGTGATAAGTGTTTAGTATTCATAGTAGCAGTTTACTGTGAATGCTAAAATTTCTGGATGAAAGTTTGAGGAGAAACAAGATTTGCATAGTTTCAAAGTATTTTTCACCCAAATACTTATCAAGTACAAAGGAAAAATATCTTTCAAGTGTAGGAACCTGGCAGACAAGCTAAACATCCCCAGTAATGATACGTACAAGGTGGGGCAAAAGTAGTTATACAGTTGTGAGTACACAAAACACAGAGTTCATTCTTGTATTATTGTTTATAAATTATTGTATTATTTTCCATATGAATAGCTGTAAACTTACTTTTGCCCCACCCTGTATAACTGTTAACATCCTGAACCTCATGATGGTAGAGTGAAGGACATCATTGTTGTGATATTCTTTTTTTTTTTTAAATTTTATTTTTGTGTATTTTAATTTTTTTTAGAGAGAGGGGAAGGGAGGGAGGAGGAGAGGGAGAGAATCATCAGTGTGAGAGAGAAACTTTGATTGCCTTCCCTATGTGCCTCAACTGGGGGTGGAACCTGCAACCCAGGCATGTGCCTTGACTGGGAATTGAGCCAGCAACTTTTTGGTTAGTGGGACAATGCCCAACCAACTGGAGCCACACTAGCTGGGGTGTTCTTGTAATATTCTTGCAGAATAAACAAACAAACAAAAAAACAAGTTTAAAAAAACAAAGTCAACAGAAAAAGTATGGGCTTACTCTAATCATTGACTGGTGTTAGGGAGACAGCCGTCAAACCCAAATTGCAGAGCACTCACCAAATAACTGAACAGAGCTCCTCAGAAATGTCAAGATCATGAAAGACAAGAAGAGACTGCTGACCTGTAAAAGACTGGAGGAAAAAGACATGAGAAATGCAGTGAGGTGTCCTGCTCAGGATACTGGGACAGAAAAAAGGCATTAAATTTAAGTATTTGTTACGTTCCAAAAAGGTCTATAGTTAATAATACTGTATTAATGTTAATTTCCTGGTTTTGATCATTATTTTATGGTCATATAAGATGTCAACATAGGGGAATCCAGGTGAGAGAGATAAGGGAACTCTGAACTATTTTTGCAGCTTTTAAGTCTAAAATTCATTCAAAATAAAAAATTAAATATTAAAGATGTGTTTGAAGCCCCAGTAAAGAATATTGAGGTTTGATTTTCTTTGTACTTATGACAGGGTTAGAAAGAGGCTTTTGGAACATCGAGAAGAAACAATAACAATAGATCGAGTCTGCAGACAAGAAACATTTGCATACGAGATGGTAAGAGTCATTTTATTTACCTCTTCCCATGAAACAATAAACTCTGTCATTGGGTGAGTGTTAGTGATGACTGTATGGTGGCTTTATACCTAGTTGAAAGCAAAGTAAGGAAACGATTCGGGTTGGGAAGTAGTAGAAGACAAAGACCCTCAGAATTTAAGTGATGACATATTTTACTCTCAAATCTCTTTTATTTTTTTCTTTAACATTTTATTATTTATTTATTTTTAGAGAGAGGAGAAGGGAGGGATAAAAGAGAGAGGAACATCAGTGTGTGAGAGAAACATTGATTGGTTGCTTCTCACAGGTTCCCAACCAGGAACCTGGTCCGCAACCCAGTCGTGTAACCTGACCAGGAATTGAACTGGCAATTTTCAGGTTTTGCAGGATGATACCCAACTTACTGAGCCACACAGATCAGGGCTGTCTTTATTTTTTGGGTTTAGCTTGGTCTTGCTCTCTGTGGTAGGCTAAATACCACTCTATATTTTTGTTCTGCTCCTCATCTTGGTTTCACTACTTTTTTCCCTAATCTATCATCTCTTGTGTAAAACTCTTAGAAAATTTAAGACAATGGGTAATGAGGAATGTGTTAATAGACATCTTGAAAATCTACAATGTGCCACACATGGTGTTGGGCACTTAATAGTGTATAGGGTCTTGTATTGTTTTTTCTCACTTATTTTTTATTGTGTTAAAATTTATGTAACAAAATTTATTGTTTTAACAACTTTTAAATATTCATTTAAGTGGCATATACACAATGCTTTGTAAACATCACCAGAATCTTTTATCATCTCAAACAGAAATTCTGTGAACATTACAGTAACTCCCTCTTTTTCCTTCCCTAACTCCTGGTAACCTCTGTTCTACTTTCTCTGTGAATTTGCTTATTATAGATATTTCATATAAATGGAATCATGCAATATTTGTCCTTTTGTTTCTGGCTTATTAGCATGTTTTAAAGGATCATCTGTGCTATAGGATGTATCAGAACTTCATTCCTTTTTATACCTGAATAATATTTGATTGTATGGATATAACAACTTTTGTTTATCCATTCATCTGTTGGTGGACATTTGGGTGTTTTCCACTTTTGGCTATTGTAAATAATACTGCTGTGAACATTAGTGTACAAGTACAAGTTTGTTTTCAGTTCTTTTCAGTATATACTCGGAGGAGCATTGCTCAGGCATGTGGTAATCCTATTTTAACTTTCTGAGGAAACACCAAACTGTTTCCCACAGTGGCTGCATCATTTTATATTCTCACCAGCAATGCAGGAAGGTTCCAATTTCTCCACATCCTTATCAACATGTCATTATCTGGTTTTTGATAATAACCATCCTAGTGGGTGGGAAATGGTATCTCATTATGGTTTGCATTTGCATTTCCCTAATGATTAGTGATATTGGCAGTCTTTTCATGTGTTTATTGGTTTGTATATCTTCTGTGGAGAAATGTCTATTAAAATTTTTTGTTGATTATTTTTAAAGATTTTATTTATTTTTAGAGAGGGGAAGGGAGGGAGCAGGAGAGGGAGAGAAACATTAATGTGTGGTTGCCTCTCCAGCGCACCTTACTGGGGACCTGGCCCATATCCCAGGCATGTGCCCTGATTGGGAATGGAACTGATGACCCTCTGGTTTGCAGGCCAGCACTCAATCCACTGAGCCACACCAACCAGGGTTTTGTATATTTTTGATACTAGACCCTTGTCATATATATGTAAAATGGAAAAGTATCTTTTATCATTTTATGGGTTGTCTTTTTGTTCTCTTGATAGTGTGATATACAAAAGTTTTAAAATTTGATGAAATTGAATTTATCTGTTCTTTTATTATCTGTGTAGTTGGTGTCATACTTAAGAAAATATTGTTATATCCAATGCTTGAATATTTTCTCCTATGTTTTGTTTTAAGAGTTCTATGATTGTAGCTCTTAGTTTAAGCTTTTGATCCATTTTGAATTATTTTTATGTATGCTATTAGGTAAAAGTTCAACTTCATTCTTTTACATATGGATATCCACTTTCCTTAGCACAAGTTGAAGAGTGTCCTTTCCTTATTGAATGGTCTTGGAACCTTTGTTGAAAGTTGGTTGCATATTAACTTTATTTCTGAGTTCTCTAGTCCATTGGTCTATATGTCTGTCTTTATCCTGATACCACACTGTTTTGATTACTGTAGCTTTTTGTATTCTTTTTTGAAATTTGGAAATGATAGACTTTCAATTTTGTTCTTTTTCAAAACTGTTTTCAGAATGGGTTTTTCTGTGTTTGCAAAAAAAATTGATATTTTGATAGGGATTGCATTGAATCTGTGTATCATTTGGGTACTCTGTCACCTTAAGAATATTGGTCTTTCAGTCGATGAGCAGAGATGCAAGTTTTTTTATATAGAAGTCTTCCATGTCTATTGTTAAATTTATTCCTTTCAATGCTATTTTAAATGGAATTGATTTCTTAATATTTTTTTCAAAAATTATTCATTACTACTCTATAGAAATACAACTGATTTTTGTGTTTTGGCTTTATATCCTGCAACTTTGTTTAATTTTTTCATTAGTTCTAACAGGGTTTTTTGTGTTAATTCTTCAGAATTTTGTACATAGAAGATTATGCATGTCATGCTTCTGCAAACAGATAATTTTATTTCCGATTCAGTTGCTCACTTTCTCTTTCTTCCTTCTTTCCTTTCTTCCTCCCCCCCCTTGTTCTGGTTAGAATTTCTAAAACTGTGTTGAAAGAAGTGGAAAATACACATTCTTCCATCAGTCTTTCACTGTTGAGTATGATTTTAGTTGTGACTTGTTCACATATGGCCTTTATCATTGTTAAATTCCGTTCTGTTCCTAGTTTCTTTTTTTATAGAGTTTTAACATAAAAAGAGAATTGGATTTTGTGAAGTGCTATCTTTCGTGTCAACTGAGATGATGATATGGGTTTTCCCCCATCATTCTGTTAGTGTACTATATATATTACATTGGTTGATTTGTATGTGTCGAACTTATTCTTGATCCTGAACACAAGTTCAGTTTGCTTGTGGTGTATAATCTTAATATGCTGTTGAATTTAGTTTGCTAGTATTTTTTTTAGTTTGGCAATTATATTCATGAGGGGTATTGGCCTGTAGTGTTTTTGTGGTGTCTTTAATTTTGGTGTCAGAGTCTGTTCACCTCTGAATGAGTTAAGAAGTATTTCTTCAACTCTAAAACTTTTTCAGACTTGGAGAATGATTGGTGTTATTAACTTTCTTTGCTATTTGGTAGAATTCACCAGTGAAGTACTCTAGTCGTGGGCTTTTTTTCTTTGTTAGAAAAGTCAGTCTTATCTTATACAGATCTATTTAGATTTTCTATTTCTTCTTCAGTCGGTTTTGATTTCATCCTGCTGGCTTCAGGTTTACTTTGCTTTTCTTTTTCTAGTTCACATTTGTTTACAGTTAGGTTATTGATTTCAGATTGTTAAGGTAGACTTTCAGATTGCTACACTCTTTTTTAAGGTAGGTGTTTATAGCTCTAAGTTGTTCTCTTTGTACTGCTTTTGCTGTATTTCAGGGGTTTTTTATTTTTATTTTTTTTATTTTAGGGTTTTTTAAAAAAGATTTTATTTATTTATTTCTAGAGAGGGGAAGGGAAGGAGAAAGAGAGGGAGAGCACCATCAATGTGTGGTTGCCTCTTGCACACCCCTCATTGGGGACCCAGCCCTGCAACCTAGGCATGTGGCCCTGACTGGGAATTGAACTGGCGACCCTTTGGTTTGTAGGCTGGCACTCAGTCCATTGAGCCACACCAGCCAAGGCCAAGGTCATATGTTTCTTATGTTATGTTTCCTTTTCATTTGTCTCAAAGTATTTTCTAATTTCCCTCATGGTTTCTTCTTGACCCACTGGTTGTTCAAATGTGTTTGTTAATTTCCACGTATCTAAATTTTCCAGTTTTCCTCTTGTTACTGATTTCAAGGTTCATCAGTTGTGATTGGAAAAGATACTTTTGTCCTGGCCAGGTAGCTCAGTTGGTTAGAGTATCATTCCAGTATGACAAGGTTGCAGGTTTGATCCCTAGTCAAGGCATCTATAAGAGTCAACCAATGAGTTCATAAACAAAGAGAACAACAGTTTGATGTTTCTCTCTCTCTCTCCCTCACCCTCCTCCCCTTCCCTTTCTCCCTTCATTTCTCTACCTAAAATCAATAAATAAAGTTTTTTAAAATAACTTGTATCATTTTTTAAAAAGATACTTTTTATGATTTTAGTCTTTTAAATTTATAAAGACTTGGTGGTCTATCTGGAGAATCGTTCTTGTGCACTTGAGAAAAATGTGTGTTCTGCTATTGTTGGAGTGTTCTCTATATCTGGTAGGTCTCATTGGTTTATAGTATTGTTCAGGGCTTCTGTTTCCTTACTAATTTTCTGTCTGATTTTTCTACTCATTGAAATTGAAGTATTGGCATTTCCAACTAGTAACTGTAGAACTATTTTTCCCTTTGGTTCTGTCAGTTTTTTTCTTCATGTATTGTGGGGTTTTGTTTTAGCTGTATCTATGTTTATAATTACTGTATCTTCTTGCTGGACTGCTCCTTTTACCAATATATGCCCTTCTTTGTCTCTTGTAACCTCTTTTAATTAATTGTCTATTTTGCCTGACAATAATATAACCACTCCAGCTTTCTTTTGGTTATTATTTGCATGGAGTATCTTTTTCTATCCTTTTACTTTCAGCCTCTTCATGTCTTCATTTCTAAAGTGAAGAAATGAAGGCTGGTGTGACTCAGTGCTTGGAGCATTGTCTTGTAACCAAAGGGTTGCGGGTTCAACACTGATCCCGGTTTGAGCACGTGCAGTCCTCATCTAGGTGTGAACAAAGGCAACCAGTTAACGCTTCTCTTACATTGATATTTCTCTCTCTTCCTTCCTTTCTCTCTAAAAAAAAAAACAAATGAAAATGTTCTCAGGTAAGGATTAAAAAATAATAAAATAAAGTAAATATTTAAATAAAGTTATTCTCTCTTAGGGAATATATATATGGATCAAATTTTTTATCCAGTCTGCCAGTCTTTTGCTTTTTTAATAGGAAAGCTTAGTCCATTTAATTTAAAATGATATCTTCTATTTAGCTGTTTGTATGCCGTATATATCTCTGTTCCTCAATTCCCACATTCTTGCCTTTTTTGTATTTAGTTGAGTATTTGTGGTATATTATTTTGCTTCCCTTCTTCTTTCCTTATGTATATGTTCTCCTTATTTTCTTAGTGTTACCTTGGGGATTATAATTAGCATCTTAAAATTATAACAGTTTTGATAATAGCAACTTTTAGTTATGTCCGGAAGGATTGACACACTGCTTTTACACATCTGCATCCCTCCCAGTTACATCGTTATTGTCACAGGTTACACCTTCATGTATTATGTGTCTGTTAACAAAAATTTATAAGTATTGTTTTGTGCATTTGCTTTAAAAAAAAGGATTATAACCCAAAAGTTAGTAATACTGGCTTTCATATTTACCTGTGTAGTAACCTTTACCAGTATTCTTTATTTCTTCATATGGTTTCAAGTTGCCCTCTAAAGCAGGGGTCCCCAACTGGGCCACACAGGAGGTGGGTGGCGGGTGAGCGAGTGAAGCTTTACCTGTATTTACAGCCACTCCCCATTGCTCATATTACCACTTGAGCTCTGCCTCCTGTCAGATTAGCAGCAGCATTAGATTCTCATAGAAGCGTGAACCCTACTGTGAACTGTGCATGAGAGGTCTAGTTTGCACCCTCCTTATGAGAAGCTAATGCCTGATGTTCTGAGGTGGAGCTGAGGTGGTGATGCTAGTGCTGGGGAGCAGCTGCAAATACAGATCATCGTTAGCAGAGAGGTTTGACTGCACAGAGACCATGATAAATCAGTTGCTTGCAGGCTCATATCAGAGCCCTATCAGTGAGTAGCAAGTGACAATTAAGCTGCATCTGGTGGCAGGCTATAATAAAGCCACCCCCCCCCCCCCACTTTCTCCCATCCCTGTCTGTGGAAAAATTTCTTCCACCAACTGGCCCTTGGTGCCAAAAAGGTTGGGGACCACTGCTCTAAAGTATTTGCATATCAACCGAAGAACTCTCTTTAACATTTCATATAGGGCAAATCTATTGATAATGAACTCCCTCAGCTTTTGTTTATCTGAAAATGTCTTAATTAATTTCTCCCTCATTCCTGAAGGATAGTTTTTCTAGGTATAGACTTCTGGGCTGACAGTTTTTTCCCGCATGGCTTTTAATATGTGGTCTCATAGCCTTCTTGTCTACATGGTTTTGGTGAGAAATTGACCGTTAATCTCATTAAGGAGCCTGATTTCCTTTAGCTCTCTCATTTTGGGTTTTTTTTGTTTGTTTGTTTTTTGTCATTGAATATATTTAAGACAGTTGATTTAACATCACTGACTAGTAATTTCAAATCTGGGCTCCTTCAAGGGTGGCTTCTGTCAAAATCTTTTTTCCTTGTAAATGGGCCATATATTCCTGTTTCTTTGTATGTTTTATAAGTTTTTTGTTGACAGCTGGACATTCCAAGTGTGTTTATTACTTGTTGAGGGCTGTAACTGTCTAATTGTGACTTTTCCAGACTATTTTTCCAATGTGTGTACTTGCGTGTTGTGTATTATCACTGATGTTTCTGGTTCATTATCTCTGTGGTCAGCCAGTGACCTAAGATTTCCTTAAATGTCTGCTTCTACAAATGAGAACAGGTCCTGTCCCTTTAAGTTTTCCAATAGCTACTGTTGCAGAAAGCCATGGCTGGCAGGAGGGTCAAAACCAAGGCAGGTGTCTGCACCAGGCCTTCACAGCATCACTAGACCAACCTAAACACACAACCCCCAATTTTTGGAGTACAGCGTCCCCACTGCCTGTCATGGTATCTCCACATTTGCAGTAAGGCTGAAGAATGGGGAAATTGTAGGTGGTTTGCACCCTCTGCTTATTTTTGAAAAAATCAGCAGCTTGTCTCTTCATGAAGCAGTACCCTAGTTGATAAAAGTATCTGATCAGGTTCCAGAGTTCTAAAATAGTTTATTCCAATTTCTCTTCCCATCGTATTGATTGCTTTGGTGGAGGGACTGGCTGATCCTTAGGGATTCTTACTTCACCGTTTTGTATGACATCACTCTCACCTGTTTTTAAAACGTCTTTTGCTTCTTTGCCTAATCAGTCCACCCTGGTGGCCCCCATTCTGTAGTTACTAAGCACATGTAGAAGAGAGTGGTGCATTAAAGATGTGACAGTGTTGGAAAAATCAAGAGTTTTAAAGCCAAACAGATCTGTATTTGCATCCTAACTTGCTGGTTTATCTTGGGTACATCTGAACTTTTGAGCTTTAGGTTCGCAGGCCATTGCTTAATCCACTGAGCCATGCCAGCTAGGGTTGAACCTTTGAGCTTCATCTTCATCTGTCAGATGTCTCTCATGATTATATGTGAGGAGGTATAGGGTAAATGTCAATGTAATATCAACACTAGATATTCCTGATATTCCTTTTTAAATCATTAGTTGGTGAGCCCTTTGTGCCAGACATCTTGCTAGATGCTTTATGTACACATTCCCAGCAACAGTTCTATAAAATAAGTATTTTCTGTGTTTTACAGCAGATGAAAGTAAAGCTTAGAGAGGTCTTAACAATTTTCTTGAAGTAGAATTGGAATCAGAATCAGGGCTGTTTGGCTCAGTTATTGCTTATAGCCGTTGCTCCACACTGCCTCTTATCTGAGCCACAGTGTCTGATTTTAAGATCTCTTATTAATTTGTTTTCCTCCCTCAGGAGTCACGTGCCGTGGGGAAAAAGCCTGAAAATCCAGCAGACATGATAGAAGAAGGGGAACTTATCCTATCTGTGAATATCTTGTACCCTGTTATATTTCATAAGGTCAGTAGTAAAACCATTTGGATTTCACAGATAATATGAGTGACTTTTGTCAAATGGTTTAATTATTTGAAGAGCCGTATTCCTAGGGTTCAAAATAAATGCCATCAAATGCTATTTTATCTGGTGTTCTGCTTATATTCTTGAGTTCTTTGTTTTAATAAGGAATATTATAAATAGGACAGATTTCAAATAATCTATTGATTAATAGGATTGCAGTTTCAGTGTTAGAATGCGTACCCTGGTTTCTGCACTAGAAGCAACTGTAAGTATATAGAAATCCACAGTGATTGTAATTATTATCATGTCTTGAGGGTTTGTCTGCCCTAGAAGGAGTGGGGTGACTTTTATTCACCAGTTTAGATTCCGTGGGAGGTTGTTTAACTAATGACAGTTCTTCTTTGATGAAAATACAGAAAGTCCACAGGTCAGGGGTATCTAAGAATTCTTAGGAGGTTCTGATAAAAAGAACTATCTCATACAGAGTGTATGTATATTTGATTCTTCACATCCATGCCATGAACTTTGATAAGACTTAATTGAAATATTACTGTACATAAACTGTACTTGTGAATAAATAGGTTTTTATGAAGCATCTGGAATATAGCTAATACTAATTGTCTTGTTTGATGAAGATCTCAAATTACCAGACAAACAAAACAAAACCAATAACATGGAACCTCTGGGTTTATAACATTAGGGTGGTGAATGGATTGCTTGACTTCAGTGTGGTAACTTCTAGGAAATTTTAAAAGACAGTGCTACAGATGAAGTTACAGTCCACAGGCTTTTCATTCTAATGTCATTATAGTAGCTTCTTGATTATAAATGTTCACTTAAACTAAACAAGTTTTATTGCTACATATCTTAGTTCATTCCAGCTTCTGTAACAAAATGACTCTGACTGGGTAGCTTATAAACAACAGAAATTTATTTTTGATAGCTTTGGAGGCTGGAAGTCCAAGATCAGGGTGCCAGCATGATTAGGTTGGGGCTCTTTTCTGGGGTGAAGACTTCACACACTAGAACAGGCTATGGAGCTCTGTGGGATCTCTTTTATAGGAGCATTATCCCACTTATGAGAACACCCTCATGACCCAATTACTTTCCAAGGGCCCCACCTCCTAACACTGTCACTCTGAGTACTAGGATTGCAATATGCAAATTTTGGGCAGACATAAACATTCAGACCATTGGACCAAGTGTCTCAGTTATACCCATAGATTATAATTTACAGAAGTGACCGAGTGACAACACTAGAGACTAATGCCATTGAAAGAAGATTTTTACTGCTTGTACTCCCTGAGAGAGGGGCTATGCCATGCTGTGGAGTGCCACAGGGGAAAGCACCAGTGTCAGGAGGCAGAAAGGAGGGCGGCAAGGGCATAGGCCACAGCCTTTATTAGGATTTCAGCATGAAAGGCAAGGAAAGGCAGAGCAAACAGTTTGAGTTGGCTAGTTTGAGAAATTGTAGTGGGATCTGGGGTATAGGGGTTGTCCTCAGTTATCTGTACCTGGTCCTCGATTTAGGATAGATGAAATGTTGGCTTGGTATGTGAGAGTTAGACGAAAGAGCTGGTTTCAAAGTTTAGGCTCTGTATCACAAAGGAGATGTAAACAACTTTGGCCATTAGTTTGGACCTGTAATTAATGAATGTCAAATAGACAAATACAGAATTTAAGAAAACATCAAGCACCAAGTTATGGGGATAACTTAAATCAAGAAAACCAGTAACAATTCATATCTGATCAAATTGGACAGTTTAACTGCTTGTCTCTAAGTGTCCCCTTATTTATCTACTGTTCAATTTTTAGCACAAGGAACACAAACCATACCAGACAATGCTGGTATTGGGCAGTCAGAAGCTCACGGAACTAAGGGATTCAATTTGCTGTGTCAGTGACCTCCAGATTGGTGGGGAATTCAGCAATACTCCTGACCAAGCCCCTGAGCACATCAGCAAAGTAAGATTTTTTTTGTTTACCCCACTAAAGCAAGGGGAAATAATTATAATAAGCCAAGGAAGTAATGATTACTCTAGCATGCTTTTTTCTTTTATTTTCAAAAAATATATTTTATTGATTATGCTATCACAGTTGTCCCATTTTTCCCCCTTTATTCCCCTCTGCCCTGCACACCCCCTCCCACCTGCATCCCCCCCTTTAGTTCATGTCTGTGGGTTGTGCATGTAAGTCCTTTCCTTTGGCTTCTACATTTCCTTTACTATTCTTAACCTTCCCTATTTTCTACCTACCATCTGTGCTACTTATTCTCTGTACCTTTTCTTCCCTCTCTCCCACTGATAACCCTCCATGTGATCTCCATTTCTGTGATTCTGTTCCTATTCTAGTTGTTTGCTTTGTTTGTTTGTTTGTTTGTTAGGTTCAGTTGTTAATAGCTGTGAGTTTGTGGTCATTTTACTGTTCATAGTTTTGATCTTCTTTTTCTTAGATAAATCCTTTTAACATTTCATGTAATAAGGGCTGGATGATGATGAACTCCTTTCACTTGACCTTATCTGAGAAGCACTTTACCTGCCCTTCCATTCTGAATGATAGCTTTGCTGTATAGAACAATCCTGGATATAGATCGTTGCCTTTCATGACTTGGAATACTTCTTTCCAGCCCCTTCTTGCCTGCAAGGTTTCTTTTAAGAAATCAGCTGATAGTCTGATGGCGACTCCTTTGTAGGTAACTGTCTCCTTTTCTCTTGCTGCTTTTAAGATTCACTCCTTATCTTTAATCTTGGCTAATGTAATTATGATGTGTCTTGGTGTGTTCCTCCTTGGGTCCAACGTGTTTGGGACTCTCTGAGCTTCCTGGACTTCCTGAAAGCCTATTTCCTTTGCCAGATTGGGGAAGTTCTCCCTTGTTATTCAAATACGTTTTCAATTTCTTAGTCTTCCTCTTCTGGCACCCCTATGATTTGGATGTTGGAACATTTAAAGATGTCCTGGAGGTTCCTAAGCTTCTTCTCATTTTTTTGAATTCTTGTCTCTTCATTTTGTTCTGGTTGAATGTTTCTTTCTTCCCTCTGCTCCAAACCATTGATTTGAGTCCTGGTTTCCTTCCCGTCACTGTTGGTTCCCTGTAGATTTTTCTTTATTTCACATAATGCAACCTTCATTGCTTCCTGGGTCTTTTTTATGCTGTTGAAGTACCCAGTGAATTCCTGGGGCATCCTGACAACCAGTGTTTTGAACTGTGTATGTCATAGGTTGGCTATCTCTTCATTGCTTAGTTGTATTTTTTTGGTTCTTTGAACTGTTCTTTTTTTTTTTTTTTGTCTCAGCATGCCTGTTATATAGAAAGGAGTGGAGCCCTAGATGTTCACCAGGCCAGGGCAACCCATGCTGCTGCATTGTGACGATGTTGTATGTGGGGAAGGGGTCCAAGAGGGAGCAATGGTGCTTGCTCCTGTCTCTACTGGATTTCAGCCACTTCCCCTGCATCCCCCAAGCAAATTGGGTCCTTCTTGTGCTGATTCCCAGTGTGTGGGTTTGTGTACATTCTAGGACCCTGTGGATCTCTCCAATGAACTCTCCTGTGGGGCTGGCTGTGGGGCTGGGAGTATCTCCCAGCACCTCAACCCCCACAGGTGTTTTCAATCAGAGGTTTGAGGCTTTATGTCCTTAAGCTGGAACCCTGGGTTGCGTAGTCTGTCTCGCTCCCCAGTTGTTCCTCCTGGTTTATCTAGACACGAATGTAGGACTGCCCAGTCTGCAAGCCACCGCCTTGCCCGGTCTGCCAGCTGCCACCTTACTTTCCCTGTCCTTTAGCCACAGCCTCGTTTTGAGTCCTCTCCGCCCAGTTACCTGTCTCCTCCCCTCCTACCAGTCTGGATGAATGTTTCTTCTTTACCTCCTTGGTTGTCGGACTTCTATACAGTTCAATTTTCTGTCAGTTCTGGTTGTTTTTTATTTTTTAAATTTTTGTTGTCCTTCTTTTGTTGTTCGAGGAGGCAGTGTGTCTACCTCTGCCTCCATTTTGTCCAGAAGTTCCACTTTCTTCTTTTATACCATTCCCTCAAAGCCTGCCTCGTCCCTGTTCTTTATCATCAAGACTTTTTCAAAGATTAGGCTATACTAAATTTTGATTTCCTCATATCCTATTCATTTTCAGCTATTGTTTTTATGCTCTTCTTCAGAGGTCATAGAAACCACCTAGTTGTTTAATTCATTGATCTCTTTTCCATGTTGATACAATTTGATTTCACTTAGCATTTGAATTTGCTGTTCAGTCTCTCTTCTTTCAAATTCTGTATAAGTTGTCATAATTGCCCCCCAGCAAAGGTTGGAGTCTACTGGAGAATTTCACTGCCCATAGAAGGACCTGTTAATTCATGGACCAATACCAAACAGGGACAGAGCAGTTGCTGCTAGTGTTTCCCAGGGTGATGCTCTCTAAAAAAACCTACATACTCACTCAGTAAGTATGGAAAGGAGCAGAATGATAGGCTGGATACCCACTAACATTTTAGAAGGGATCTCTTGCCCGGTAAAGTAGTAGAGCCTGATCCTTCTGAATTTCATCATGAGCAAGCTCGAGCTAACTATGTTACCTGGTACAAGTAGCAGAGGCCCTCAGATTTACTGGCCCACCTAAGAGGGGCAGCATCTCCTGTAGAACAGTAAAAAGATACTTGGATCAAGCAGAATGGAGATAGAGTATGGGTGAGAGCCATCTTAGTCTCTGTTTTTGCTGGTTCCTGTGACAGCAGGCATGTAAATGCCATAACTTAGGTTTTACCTTAGTTGTTCTTATTTTGATTATTCTCCTGATTATTCTCCCAGTTTTCATGGTTTTAGGTGTACTCAAAATCTTTGTTAATCTCTCTCTGTAGCCACATTCTCTCCTGATTTCCAAACCATCATTTTAAGTCCCACTGGACATTTCTACTTAGCCTCAGTGTTGCCTGGCATTTTACTGTATTTTGTGGTCTATTCACACTGCCCTTTTTCAAAGCAATTGTTTTCTTCTTTCTGAAATTGCCAACATTCTTCCCTCTTGACTTACCTGTAGCTACTTATTTCACAGAGAAACAGAGTTATCAGAAAAGAATTTTCCATCATCTCTCACCCACGTTTACCCATCTGCCCATGTACCCTCCCTTCCCATCCATTAACAATAAATGTACCAAACTGGGTGCCATGTAAGGCCAGTCTGTGTGTCCCCTGGATTCCACCCCTGATTACATAACCAAAGAGTCTTTTCTTATAATTATCCCCTTTTGTCCTTGCATCATCTATTTTTTTTATTCTGTCAGCTCTCCCATTATTATAAGAAGGTGCTGTAATATATCTCCCATCCTGATACCACTTTTTGACAGCTTATCTTCCTCCTGCTAATGGTGTTCTCCACCATTCCACCCAAATCCCTTTACTGATGCCACCACAGACTTAGTTCTCACCTTACTTGACTTCTTGTCAGTGTGTGACACAATTAAACATTCCTTTCTTTTTGAAACACTTTCTTTACTTGGCTTTTAGGGCATTATACCCACTAAATTTTCCTCCTCTCTGACAGACTTTCAATTCCTTTGCTGGATGCTTCTTATCTTTCTGACTTACACATGCTATTAAGCCAAATAAATCAACTTACAGACTTCTCCTCTGTGTATACTCCTTAGGTGGTCTTGTCCAGATTCACAGCTATAAATACTAGGGTTCCCAGATACACATATTCAATCCCAACATCTTCTCTGAACTCTGGACTTACATATCCAACAGCTTCCTATGCAGTTTTTATCAAATATCTAATAGCCATCTCAAACTTAATTTTTCAAAAGCAAACTATAACCCTGACCCCCATCTCTTGCCCATACTTCATAGCTCTGCTGGTTGGGCGTTGCCCTGCAAAGTGAAAGGTGGCCAGTTCAGTTCCAGGTCAGGGCACATGCCTGCTTTGCGGGTTCCATCCCCACGGGGGTATGTAGGATAGGCAACCAATCGATGTTTCTCTCCTCTTTTTCTCTTCATCCTGTCTCTAAAAATAAATAAAATCTTTTAAAAATTTAAAAAGCAAACTCTAGCTCTTTCTTCATCATCAAATGTATACCTTCCCCAGGTCCTCATCTCAGTGAATTTGCCCATTGTACACCTGGTTACATACGCTAAAAACCTTGGAGCAATCCTTGCCTCCTTTTGTTCCCACATTGAAGGCATCAGTAAGTACTTTGGCTCTACTTTTTTTTTCTTACAGATTTTATTTATTTATTTTTTAAGAGGGAAAGGGTGGGAGAAAGAGAGGGACAGAAACATCAGTGTGTGGTTGCCTCTCGCACACCCCCTACTAGAGACCTGGTCCGCAACCCAGGCATGTGCCCTGATTGGGGATCTAACCGGTGACCTTTTGATTTGCAGGCCAGCACTCAACCACTGAGCCACACCAGCCGGGGCTATACCGTATTTCAAAATACATTTAGGTTCTGCCTGTGCCTTGCTGGCCCTTTCCAGGTACCATCATCTCTTGCCCATACTGCTATAATAGCCTACTGACAGGGCTTACTGCTGCCTCTCCACACTTCTGTTTATCCTCTCAGCCAGAATGACATTTCTACAGTATCAGTGAGATCTGCAGAGGCTTCCTCTTTTATCTAGAATAAAATATAGGTCCTGATTGTGGTCTTCATAATGTCCGTTATCTGATCCTTTCTGCCTTCCAACTTCATATCCTAACACTCTCTCATCAGTTGTTGCCTTCAGGCACACTGCCGTCCTTGCTGATTCTCACATATACTAAGCAAGCTTCTCCTGTTCAGAGCCTTCGTATCTTCTCTCACCTTAGAATGTTCTTTACCCCGATATTCAGGTGGCTCATTCCTTTGTTTCTTCCTGCACTCATGTCACCTTGACAGAGAGGTCTTTCCCTACAGCATCCAGATTGGTATTCTCTTCCCCTGTCATGCTGTCATTTTCTTTCTTTTTTCTTTTCTTTTTTTTTAAATTGTAGTTTGCATTCAATT